GCTCTCCTGCTCCTCTTCTTCTTGCTCGAGTACATATTACGGAATGTTACGCGATACGATACGATATACGATATACGACACTAGGCGATGCGATGCGATACTATACTCTGGTTATATACCCCTCCTTTACAACAAAATGTCATGTCTACCTTTATGCACGAATATACTCATTCCTCAATGTTCTTGAAATCGCCTTACTACACGCTGTTGAGAAATTATCATTTGCTTGTTCTCTTCTGAAATGAAGTTGCTGGCTTGTGCCCATTGTCGGTGCTGACAGGGACGCGTGGCTCCACCAATCAAACGCGCCTCGGCATCTCCCCACGTGTACCCCCTTTTGATCTAGCCCACACACATGTGTTATCTGCTACGTAGGTACCCGCTTTCCCGGTTCCAGGTTCTCTCCTGCTCCTTTGAGGGGACGCTTGGTGGTTCATTATGCCGTTCCGCCCGGTGCGGTTGCACTGCCACAAGGCTTATGTACCTGTCAAGGGGGGTCTGGATGGGCCCGAGCCACAGGTTGTCCCTTTAAGTACCGTGGGAGCTCGCTGTTTCTTGTTTGGGGAACTTCACACGATACATAGCGACTTTGTGGGATTATTTTGATTTGACCGAACGACAGGTGTTGACTGAGGTCTTTGCTTTAATTGCGAGCAGACGCAAGAGGTGGACATACGAGTACAAGGATGCGCATCGCCCTCGTCGACGGTTCCTCATTTACGCCTTTCTTGTCTCCTTTCTCTTTATCTCCTTGAATCAACTCGGTGGACTCCAGGAAGAAGAAACCCTCCAACAACAGCCTCAGCACCTCAGCCCGTCGCCAAAATGTCAACAACCTACCTAACCCCCCTCACAACAAACACCCCAACCAAACGCTCTGCCTCCGCGCCCCCGCCAAGCCGCACACTCTACACCTTCCAAGAAGTCCACCCTTGGCAACGCGACAACGAGTACCTCAAGAACCATTATCGTTGCACCACCAATTCTTACCGCGAATGCCTGAAGAGCTTGTCGTATCTGCACAATCAGACTGGAAATATTTACACGCATCTCATCGGCGCTGTCTTCATCCTCTTCTACGCCATCTACGCCTACAGCAATATTAGCAGCCGTTACGAGACTGCTGATATAAACGACCTACTGGCTTTTGGTGTGTTCGTGGGAAGTGCGGTCGTGTGTTTCGGCGTTAGTGCTACGTTCCACATGTTTGGGAATCACAGCAGTAAAGTGTATCATACGTGGTTGCAACTAGACCTTTACGGCATCTTCGTGCTGATCGTAGGCACGGTGTACTCGGGGACGTACTATGGGTTTTACTGCCAGAAACAATACTGGGTGTTGTATTCGGCTGGGATTACTTCGATTGTTACGGGTGCGGCAACGCTTTGTTCGATACCGCGGTTCCGCACGCCGAAATGGAGGTGGGCGAGGGCGACGCTGTTTTGTGCGATTGGCTGGTCGGGTGCGGTGCCGATGACGCATGCGGCTCAGGCGTTTGGGAAGGAGCAGGCGGATAGGCAGATGGGGTGGCGGTTGATGATTTTTGAGGGCTTGTTTTATATTACGGGGGCTTTTATCTATGCGGTGAGTATGAAAGAGAAGGTGGATTCTCAGGTTGCATTGTTGCTAACGCTTCTTCACAGATCCGCTTTCCGGAGAGATTTCGCCCGGGACTTTTCGATATCTGGGGTTGCTCACATCAAATCTTTCATCTTTGTGCTGTGGGGGGTGCGGCGCTGCATCTGGTGGCGCTGCTGAAGGCGTTTGATTATAATCATGATCCGGCGACGCGGATTTGCTGAGGGTACCCCCTTTGGAGCTATCGAACAAACGACTACTTTACCCATCCATACTGCACGTTCAGACCTCTATCTTCTCATTCGTTTCCAATGCTCGCCCTCTCAGCTTTCCCATCGCTTAGTTCTCCAAGCTACCCATTGCCAGCCCACGTGCACTGATTACAAGAGCCAGGGGCCAGCAGAGCTCATCGACCCCGCCCTTGACCCCACCGGCGGACACATTCCTGAAAGATCGAGCATCGTCTCAATACCCTTGTTCACCTCCAGCGAGGCTGACAATATGTCCGCGGAGAACAAGACCACCGTCATTGTAGGCGCGGGATCTATTGGTCTGTGGACTGCCTATCACCTCGCACACGCAAATCGTCGAACCGGTCTCTCGAGCAGCAGCACCATCATCGTCATAGAAGCATCAGCGAGCGCATTCGGAGAGACATCCGGGACCTGCACAGGATGCATTCATCACAAATTCAACGACGAGATCATGGACGAATTTGGGAAGTACAGCTTCGCAGCCTGGCGTGATTTGGCAGAGAGAAACGACCTGTGTGATACTGCTGGACTCCGCTTCGATTCCATTTTCGGTTTGACCAAGGGTGATGGGGATGATCAAGAGCGTTTGCCGGATTGGCTTCGAACGAGCGATGCGTGGGGGGTGGACACCGAGTTCCTGGGGCCAGAGAACGCAATGGTGTAAGCATGTTGTACATGCATCACCTTCTCATGCTGATTAAGTTCGTTGCAGCAACCCAGTCGGCCTCGGCAGATGGCTTGAAAGAGCATGTATTGACATGGATGTTGGCATTGAGACATCTACAAGAGTCACTGCCGTCGAGCTGGACGAAGGAAACCGAGCCACTGCAGTAACCGTTATTCGAGAAGACTCATCCTCGGTCAGAATTCCATGCGACAACTTCGTTCTAGCTGGAGGCCCATGGACCCCAGTGGTCTACAAAACGCTCTTTCCCACGTCTTCAATCCAGATCAACTCAGCCACAGAGGCAGGCGATTGGATCATCCTCCGAAACCAGAATCCTGTTGCGAAGAAGTCGGTGGCTTTCGTGGGCCTGAATGACATCGTAGGAGAGAAGTTGGAGTTCGCAGGTCGCAACGACGGCACAATCTGGGTTTGCGGAGCAAAAGATCACAAGGGCACGCTACCTCCGTTAGGCTCGAGAGGTCTACCAGATGCTGCAAGGATTGCGGAGCTCACAGGTCGCGCTTCCCTTTTTCTTCGCGTTCACAATGCTGGCGATCCGGATGCGTTCAGGGAGCTAGAGGTCGTTGCGCTTGGGCGGGCATTTCGACCTGTTACGCGCTCGGGGCGCCCGATGATGGCTAGGGTTGAGTCTGACAAACTCTCGCATCATAATGGCCTTCAGGCAGATGGAAGGCCTGGCAATGTGTTTTTGTGCTGGGGGCATGGGTCTTGGGGCTTGACCCTTGGACCAGGCACGGGGAAGTTGATGAGTCAATTGATTCTAGGTGAACCGACTGATCTTGATCTTTCACCATTTCAAATTCCAGAGACTGTGTAGAATAACGAAATGTTTGAGTATGTGTGTCAACGATTGCACAGTTCATTGAAGTCTACCCGAATCCAGGTGAGAGCAACGTCGTAAGAAGGCCTGCAGCGGCTCTTTCAGCGGTATCTAATCTCACGATTGCATCCCTTCACTGAACTTCAACGCTCGCCATGCCAGCTCAGCTGCGCCTCTTGCAGCTTTGAAGCTAGGGTTCTCTTCTAACAACTCAGCTTTCGCGCCGAGTGCCACGATAACGCGCTTTATCACCCTCCGAGCTTTCCCATCGCTCAGACTTTCGGGACTACCCGTCATCATCACAGTAATTGAGTCGGGAGGATGAGGCGTCGGGTAGTAATACTGGTGATACAAGAAACTTAGGACGAAATCTTGTATGTCCAGTTCGTCAGGCTCACCACCACTACCTAAGTCAAATGAGGTTGCAAGATCCATATACGGGTCCGATATCTCGATCGATTCCCGAAGGATGTTGTGGTGTAGAAGAAGCGCCGACTCGGTGTGTTCGACCAGTAGCGTATGGCGAGATGTGAGGTTCCTCCCCTCTTCGCGACATTTCTCTTCGTTGTGGTAATCTTTACAGAGACCCAGACCGTTTCCTGCGTATGCGGCGACGTCTTCGTGCGGATGAGATGCCTCTAGCCAGGGGCCCAACTTCGCGAGGCCGAGATAGCTCGCCGCATCCGCGATGTCTTCTTGGTAAAGACCTGGTAATGCTGGAAAGCTGATCAAGGCTGACAACGCGGAGCCAGCATACGTTTCAGCTACTTCAATAACGGGCTTCAGGACCTTGGCTATGATGCCCACTTCGCTCGATGCTGGGAGGCCGAGTTTTTTTCGCATGGATCGTTTTGCTTGGCGGGGCCAGTCATCGAATATGTCCTTGAGACTGTGGTATGGAGGGCTGTTACCGGTCTTAGTAGTCGCTCAGATTGCTACTAGGCTACTTGCGATGGGAGCCATACCTTGAGTGTTGAGACGATGGGTGTGAGAAATGCCGCATGAGTTCGATGTACTCTTCGGACGCTTTCAGCTCTACCAAATCTTCCGTTGAGACATTGTTCCAACGAACAGATGCGATGACGTGATCTACGGTTAGGGCGAAGCCGACCGTGGGCCGGTTGGATGTTGTCTGGTCCAGGGATATGATGGTCTGAGTGCATGCGACTAGCAAGGGCGACGGAGCGAATGCGAGGATAACGGAAATCATCTTCGCCATGATGGTGTCTGCTGCGCTTCCGTGAGTTGGGAGGTATCACAGCATTTGAGAAGGTCTTCAGGCAACGATAATGTGCCCATGTGGCACAGTTCTATCGGTGAGCGTGCTTCGCCCCCGATGTTTCAGTGCAAGAGCGGGACTGGCTTGCTTCAGGCTGTGCAGTGTTTCTGCACCTGTTTTCCATCGGAGCTGCGCAAAATGCGTAGTGTATTGGCGCGATCTGGAGTTGACTGTATAGCGCTTCGGTACTAAACTTGCGGTCAATACTCAACTCTGGAATTTGTTCGACAACTATATCTTTCTAGATGTACTCGGTACAAACATCACAATATCTATAGTTTGCAATAGTCCTTGCTTAGGATGACCCAAATAGATTGATGCTGTTTTGACTTCGAGATCGGGAATGGCTCGTTCATGACAGGTCGTCGCAGTACATGAACGTCACAATTCCATTCTTTCTTCATGATCCAGCGCTCGCCACGCCATCTCCGCTGCTCCCCTTGCTGTGACATAGGCTGACTTCTCAGCCAGAACTTCAGCATGCGCTCCAAGTGCTTCAAGCACAATCTTCATTGCTCGTTGCACCTTGCCGTCGCCGACGCTCCCGGGATCACCCATCAAGATGACGGTCATGTTCGGTGGTCCTCTCCCTAACCGCTCGTTGTAGTGATGGTACAGGAAATGTAGCACACTGTTACGAACGTCTTGCTCGTCCGGCGTCCGAGAGCTACCTAGGTCGAATTGCATTTCAAGGTACATGTTCGGCCATGACAGTTCCACTGCTCCGTTCAGACCCTCCAAGTGCAACAGCAGTGCGGTTTCCGTGTATTCAGCTAGCAGCACAGTACGGGTTGTGAATCTCTCTCCGTCGTCCGGCACGCATCGTTTCACGGGGTTGTAGCTCTTGCACAGGTCGTATCCGTGACCTGCATATGCAGCGATGAGTTCGTGAGGATGACGCGCGAGGCCTTTTGCCAATCCTGCAAGACCAACGCAATAGGCGGCATCGACTATATCCTCCTGGTATAGGCCAGGCAGAGCGGGGAAGCTCACTAGAGCAGAAACAGAAGCGCCCACAGATGCTTCAGCAACGTCTTTGATGGCTTTGACCAGTGTCGCAATTACAGCCACGTCATTGGAAGCAGGAAGTCCTTTTTGCTTGCGTGCGTCTCGTTCTCTTTGACGAGGGATATCGTTCCATAAGTCACCGAGTGATGCATATGGTGGGCTTGGGGGAGAATCAGCTTTTTGCCTTGAGCATGTAATCCGACAAGAGAACACACCTAGGATGCTGGGAGGACCATAACGAGAACTTTTGCATCAACTTGATGTATTCTTCCGAAGCTTCGACTTTGGCCAGGTCCTCGAAGAACGTGCTGTTGTGGCGAATTGTAGCAGTGGCATGATCGACCGTGAGTGCAAAACCGACGGTGAGAGTGTCTGCTGATGTTGCGTGGTAGGCTGAGGAGTATTGTGACCAGCAGGTCAAAGCGCATACCATGAACAAATAGAAGGATAGGGTCATGACTGTGAATAACGATAGAAGTCTAAACAGGTAGCGCGAAGAAAATACGGGCACCAATGTGAGCTGAGTGAGCTCACTGTCCTCTTTTAGCAGCATTGAGAGATCTGTGCCGTCATTTCCCAAGCTTGGTGGCCGGAGTGCCTATGCGGCGCGGTGTCCAGGCAGCATCGCCAACAGCTTCGATGCGCGGGTGGGCATCATAGGCTGCATGCTGCATCGAAATCAACCAGAGATGTTCCGCCGTGTTATTGCATCGAGGCCGTTGCATCATCGTCCGCAGATGTCTGCTGACGTTCGCAGCTCTGCCGTAAGACCTCGAGAAGCCCCTTCCGAACGGCCCTGGGGGTGTTGCCAGTCGTTGCGCTGTGTGATCGGATTGCACGTTACATAGATATGTCAAATGGAATGCAAAGTCTCATGATAGGGTCGTTTTCCAAATATACGAGAGACGCGATGACGAAGAGCATTGTGACATGACTGGACGTGGCTCATACTGTGGAAGCCATGAAGCTGGTGTTCTCATCAGATCGCCCACGCGAGATTCGGCCCTTTGTGCACTGACCACCCGCCACGCAGGAGCCCCTTGGGTCAGTCGAGCCGCACGAATCATCCTCCGCATCATCAGCTCCCATCTATCCAACGACCTTGTCCACAAGAGCCCTCATCTCCTCCTTGACGCTGTCAATATTAGCGAACGGATCTTGCAAGCATTTCATGCATTTGCCCTACATATTACGGAAGCGAAGGTTGCCCGGATAGAGCGCCGACGAGCAAAGATTGAACCGTCTGTGAGAAGTTTAGCCAGGCTTCGAGACGCGTTTAACATGCCTGGATACATACATGCAGTAAAGTGCATTCCGGTCATCAAAGTCTTTGGCCGGCTCTGACATTGGGTAGTGCTTCAGGTACTCGGTCACATAAGGTTTTCCGATTTTGTGGCGGGTAGGTCGCCATGGTGCCAACTCATCTGGTGTCGCAGTCTGGATCAGCAAAGGCAGGGTTGGATAAGACACTATAGAAGAGCTTACATTCATGATGGGCATATGAAGAGCATGCGTCGAAAATTACGGGCCGATCTGTGGCGGCATCAACGGACGTATTGCCATCCCAAAGGTCACCATGCACCAAGCAAGGAACGATGCTTCTGCCTTCGGACTCAAGCGGGCGCAAGAGCTTTGGGATTACTTTATCCATGATAGCTTCACGCAATTCCGTCATCTCCTGCTCATACCCTTGCGAGTTCGCTTCAAGCTCGAAGAATCGGCGAATGCTGCGCGAAAAGCTTTCCTCCCACGTGTCGCATTCCGTGGTATCCTGTGGGAGCCTTCCCTGAAACGTTGGGACTGGGAACCCGAATTTTCCGGACGGCGATACTCCTTTCTTGTGCAGTTTGGCGACCATCTCAGGGAAATCGGATACATCGGGGACTTCGTCGGTCATGTCATGGAAATCACACAGGAAAAAGTACGTGTCGGCTTCGTTCGCATACTCGCCCCATGCAATCGGTTTTGGCGCAATTTCAGGCAAAGCGTCATGGATAGCAGACATGGAGTGGAATTCTCCAAACATCATACCTTTCCCAGCATCGCCCTGGGACACCTATCGACTTATGATCAGAACTGCACTTGCTCTGGACCTTCAGGTGTTTACCTTGAGGAAATACGACACGGCCTCTCCATTCTGGTAGAGAGCACGGATATGCGCTGTACGAGTCCAGTAGGATGCTCCATGAGACGAGATGCCCTCGATAGTCAACCCTTTTGGAAGCTCTGGAGCCATGATCAGTAAATGGCGACCACCAACAAAGGTTGCTGAGCACGCGATGTACTCACTCTGTTCTACGTTGGGATCGACATAAGCGATCACCGCTTTTGGTACGGCAACTTCCTCGTTCCAAATCGAAGAGTCGGTCATCTCGAGATCTGGCTCGGCTGCACGGAAGAGAAAGAAAATGGGAATCAGGCAGACGGCATTCAGCCATGCATCGCCTAGTTATAGGTAAAACATATGATGGTACCGGAGCCCAATCGCAATCCAAGAAATCGTTGCTATGCGGCACAGCTTACGCGCCGTATGCACGGCCCCCACGTATATGCAGTCTCTCAGCCTGATGGACGCTCTTCGTAACGCGGCAACAGGAAAGCATTCCAGGAAGCGATGGTTTCTACGCCCGGATTACATGGCTCTATTCATATAGTAGTGATCTAGTTGGAAACAATGGCAGAGCACGGTATTGGGAACTTGGTAACTGGAGGTACCGTGTGGCACAAGGCGATCCGCTTATCGCTTCACGTCATTGGCTGCAGGTCAGAGCGCCCTCTACGAGCAACCTTCCCCTCATTAGCCGAACATCCCGTCCCGACTCCTACGTTCATGGATCGGGATAGTACATTGCCGCTGACGTGGGGATTTGGCCGGGGCTCCGCAAGAGGCTGCGCATCGACTGAGAAACTTTGTGCCCTCATGACTGGAGTCCCTTGTACCCATCGCACCATCATCCAAGGCCCACTCATCGCATGGGTATGTTGCTTTATATCCCTCGGAAGAAAGATCTCGTCATCAAAATCTCCGAGCCACGGTTGGCGGGGTAATCGCAACGCAAAACGATGCAGTCGTCACACAAACGTGGATCCATAGCCTCGGGCGCATCGAACGGATCGTTCTTCTCGCGGAGCTTTACAAGAAGGGAGACAGGACGCACCGATGACAGTGTAGACTTCCCCAAGGGCGCCATCGGTCTGACCACATTACACGATCCAGAAGAAGAAGTTGTCGCAGACATCATTTTCGTGCATGGGCTGAATGGCGGCTCCGAAAGTACTTGGGCGAAGAACGGAAACCCGTCACTCTTTTGGCCCTCTGCTTGGCTTCCAAACGACGAAGCGTTTAAAGATGTCAGGATTCATACTTTTGGCTATGCTTCTGGCCTAAGCAAAGAGTCAGTTCTGCACGTTCCAGATTTTGCCCGATCTTTGCTAGCCTCGATACACGACTCTCCACGGATACCGTCTGGTGGTCATGTACGTCCTGCTCACCCTTACATGAATTATGCTGATCATGTCAGGTTCCGATGATACTCATCGGTCATAGCATGGGCGGTCTAGTCATCAAAAAGGCCTTTGTACTTGGCCATCAAACCAAGGAGTTCGAGGGCCTGATACGCAATATCTTCGCTATATTCTTCCTGGCAACACCGCATCAAGGCGCTGGCATAGCAGATACCCTTGGTAGGATACTCGCGCTGGCTCCAGGTTCCAGGCCATTTGTTCAGGATCTATCCCCGGAATCGCCAGTCCTCCAGTCGATCAACGAAGACTTCCCTCTCTACAGTAGCTCTCTACGCTTATTTTCTTTCTATGAGACTGAGCCCATAAAAATTGGCATCGGAACACAACTGATAGTGGAAAAGCACTGCGCAGTTATGAACTACCCCAATGAGCGGAGGACATATCTGAATGCGAACCATCGCAATGTGGCGAAGTTCTCAGTGCAGACGGACCCGTCCTACCTGGCTGTCAGAAACGCTTTAGCGACTACGATCGCGAGTAAAAGAACACACAAGGCACTGTCGAATCAGACAGCAGGTTTCGAGCAAATTGAAGCACTCAGTACTTTCCTCAGTGTTACCGAGACCCCCGATGACGAGCTAGAAAGCCAGTCAATTCGACTGTCCGAAACGTGCGATTGGTTTCTTGATAGAAACACATTTCAAGAGTGGCGAAACGCAGCAGATTCGAAAACTTTGTGGGTACGTGGTCGACCTGGCGCTGGGAAGAGCGTTCTCTCGGCGCACATCATTCATCACTTGAGGGGATTAGGTCTCGACTGTTCCTTCTACTTCTTCGTACAGGGTGACAAAACGAAAGCCACGATCAATACGTTTCTCCGATCGATGGCGTGGCAAATGGCCAGTCAACACCCCCACCTTTTGAGTATCGTTCTTGATATCTCGACAAGCTCGCAGATTACTGCAATAAACAAGACCGATCATGTGGCCGTATGGCGGCGTTTATTCCTGAGTGGCATGTTGAAATGCCGTTTGGACACGCCTCAGTACTGGGTGATTGACGCGGTCGATGAATGCAAAGGAGGATCTGAACTCGTAACGCTATTATCAAAGATGCAAGAAGTTTGGCCGATCTCTCTCCTGATAACGTCAAGGGACTCGTTCGACAGATACGCCGATGGAGCTGTTCAAAGAATTGAGGTCATGTCGGAAACGATCCAAGAGGAAGATACTAACAAAGACATCGCTCAGTATCTGCGTTCATGTCAAGATCAACTGCCAGCCACTGGGGCAGCAGAACGCGAAGCAATGTCCCAAGAGATTCTCAAGAATGCCAATGGATGCTTCCTATGGGTTACCCTTGTACTCAAGGAACTGCGCCAGGTACATACGTCTACTGAGATCCGCAAAGTACTTTCCAGCAACACTGCCGACATGGACGAGATGTATGGCCGGATACTTAACGACATGGCAAATGCGAAGTTCGGAAAAGAGCTTTCAAAGGCTATCCTTGTGTGGACAACGTTTGCTTTTCGATTCCTCTCAACCGACGAGATGCATTGCGCTATCGAGCTCGACATCCACGACAAAATCGACGACATCGAACGATCAATCAGTACTTGCTGTGGAAATCTTGTGTATGTAGATCGCAGCAAAAGGGTCCAGTTACTTCATCTTACTGTCAGAGATTTCCTTACTCGGCAAGGCATGAGATCAGAGTTTCAGATCGAGCGCGCTACTGCACACAAACGCCTTGCTTTGGTCTGCCTTCGTTATCTGAGCCGTAGTCAAGCTCGGCCGACTAAACCTCGAAAGCTTAGTGTGGACCAAATCCCGGAGAAGCCTCGCCTTATGGACTATGCGTCTGAGTATGTCTTCCAACACATATTCCATGTAACCTCCAGTGACAACGAGGTCCTTACACTATTGGGCAAGTTTATGGGATCAGACTGCGTGCTCAAATGGATCGAACATCTCGCACGGAAAGGTGATC